TAGTTTCTCTGGATAGTTCATTGCATACTTATTATAGAGATCTATGGCAAGAAATAGCCATGTGGCTCGAGCTTCAGTTCAATTAATGGAAAATTATTAGAACACTCAAAACAAACCCATTAAACATATGCATACCAGTCCTTTATGCCTATGAATCTGCCTCTGTTTGTAGCTTTGGTGCCATTCTATAAACTTGCTATCAGGTTATCATTTTTTGATAATATATATATAGCTTGTAGTTTTAATTCTTGCTTAATTTTATGGTTGTTTAAATGTTTGAACATTTATTTTCCTTATTAGTTTATAGGTATAGTACATATAAGTTAGAGAATGGCATGATTTCTAAATATTTGGAATTTTTTTATTCTTTCTTTAGGACATAAGCTGTGATAAAATTTTCTAAAGAGTTTCTATATGTCTTATTCTGGCAATAATTTTGGTTATTTATGTCTTGATTAACACACATATTGCTTACATACACACATATATAAGCTTACTGGTTACATTATAATATATATTTAAAGATATGCCAACCTAGGAATTCCTTACCTTCTTCCTCTGGCTTTGTCAGAGTCTGAGCAACATATGTGAGTTTTTTACAATAGTTAGGTTGTCATTGCTCTTTATCTTTCTAACAGTTTTTGTTTTTTATAATTCAGTCTTTGGACGTTCATTGTAAAATTTTAAAAGTTTTTAAATAAATCTTTTTTTGATTAACATTATGTTTGGCTTTTTACCTGGCTTTTGAAAAATATCAATATTACTTTTTATATGTGTGTGTGTGTGTGTGTGTGTGTGTCAGGGGTCCTCAAACTTTCTAAACAGGGGCCAGTTCACTGTCCCTCAAACTCGTTGGAGGGCCGGACTATAGTTTAAAAAAAACTATGAACAAATTCCTATGCACACTGCACATATCTTATTGTGAAGTAAAAAAACAAATGGGGCAAAAACACCCAGCAGGGCCGTATAAATGTCCTCGGCGGGTCTCATGTGGTCCGCGGGCCGTAGTTTGAAGACGCCTGGTGTACGTGTTGTTGTGTGTGTGTATTGGTAGGGGGCATATCTGTAACAACCCCCTTCTCATTCTATTATTAATTTCAGCTATTTTAAATCACTGGGATTTGGGCAGAGCATCTGACTATCTCATCAAAGATCACCTCCATGTTACAGGAGATTTGGTCCCACCTCCTTTTACACTTTTTATTATTTGGGGGTGTTAATGGTGACTGGGCTCAGGTGTCTTTGTTTAGGAGGCAAATCACTGAGGAAGAGTATAGGTTGATCCTTCTTTCAGGCCAACAATTTTGTGGGGAAGCACAAGCTATTTTTAGCTCCCGACTCAAGTGCCTGGGGTCTGTCAAATGACTGCTACTCAGAGCTAAAGGGGTTTCCTAAACAGTAGGGTCTCTTCCATCTGTAGCACAGCGCAGAGGTCTGAAGGAGGAGGCTTTTGAATTGAGCCTTGAAGGTGGAATTTCAATAGGCAGATTTTTGGATAGGGCATTTCGGCGGGAAAGCCTGGAATGAGAAAAGGCGTGGGAATAGGAAGTGATAAGCTATCATTGAGAAATGGTCTACAAGCAGTTTTAACCAGAGTTTAGTTGTGTCCAAATATATTTTGCAATTGGAGGAAAGGTTATACAGGAGAGATGAGATAAAATAAGAGTTGTAGAAAATACAATGAAACTCCTATCCAATCCAAAAGAGAGTAATCCAGAACTCTTGATCAACACTTGGTGTGGCTTTCCATAACATACGCTGTCTCTCACCTGGGACATGAAAGAATTCCAAGGGTTTACAATTATGGTCTGTGACTCCAATACTCTATGGACTACTGGATCATGGCCCCAGAGTCCATTTAATGGTGTGAGCACATTTCTCCTGTTTCTGGGGTGAGCTGAGAGCCGTGAAGACATTTCTACATAAATTAATTTTGTATAAAAATATTGCTTTTGTCTGATAAAATAAGAAAGGCTATTAGTGTATATTAAACATCTATTAATTGCCAAGCATGCTTCTAAGTACTTTCACTCATACTATATCAACGAAATCCTCACAGGAGTTTTCTGTGGTATTAATTGCTCCCATTTTATAGGTGAAGCATTAATTCACTTAGGAATACAATAGTGAAGCAGGGATCCAATATGCTGTATATATTCATTTATAAGCAGAGTTTTCCAGCATATTTTTAATGCTGTTTTTGTAGTAAAATTAGGTGCCGTGGGTGATATTCGGGTCAGCTTATACTTGAGTATATATGGTAAGTTAGAATAGTTTGTCCAATTTCTTTGGGCTTTGGCCAACTGTGTTAGCCTATACCGTGTTCTATTGGAAGAAAGGTCAACATTATTGACACGTTATGTGAAGGCAATATTCAGATGGTAACATGGATTTTTATAGTCATGACAATCAGAATTGTTTGGGCTCAAATCTTGCCCCAACCATATCCTTCTGGTGGTACCTTGGCTGGTTATTTATTTAGACTTGTTGTGTTTCAATTTCCTTTTCTTTTGTAAAATGAATAATGAAGTGGACCTACCTCAAGATTCCTATAAGAGTTAATGAGGTACTGTAACTACACTTTGGGGTTCTTATTGTTAGCTGCCTGGGAGCCAGGGCTCAATTCATGGACCGTAAAATTCAAGCTGTGGGGTTGAGTGTTGTGACCGATGAGGGTTTCATTGGCTGATAGTCAGGAGTTGAAAGCCAGGCCTTTCTTGCTAGTCCATCTCAAAGCTTCATTAACACTTGTTCAGCATCATTGCAGCATGAAAAATAACAAAAAACCAAACTCACTTCCACTGAGTCCGTTCTGACTCACGGCGACCCTATAGGACAGGGTAGAATGCCCCTCTTTCTGAGACTGTAATTGTTTGCAGGAGTAGAAAGCCTCCTCTTCTTCCTATTGCAACACAAAAGCTTCCATAAGCAGCCAGACAGGTAGCTGCTGATGGGGTGCCCTGACTGGGACTCACACCTGACTTTCCAGCATGGACCATTTAGAAAAAGTAGTGAGTAGCTATTATTAAATTAGAGTAACAACAACTACTCAAAGTGCTACTTAAAGCTCACTTTCTGTTTCTAGTGATCTATTCAAGAGATCATTACTAAAAACTTGTTTATGCTCAGACTAACTTTAATGTCATGAAATCATGTCTAGAATCGACACATTTTTCCTTAAGCAAAAATGCATCCTTCATGATAACCTATTTAACTTAAAGTTTCCCTTCATCATGGCAAATCTATTTCCCAGAACACGACACCATTTCAGACCACTTCACCTCTGCGCCTCAGACGATGCACAAAGTTCAGGGAGAGCGTTACACTTGTACAGATCGCTGACCTGGCAGCCAGGTCACGTTCCGTGCAGCGATACAGC